CTAATATTTATCACATCTTTCGAGTTTTCTAATTACAGGACTTGATTTTTATAATCATATTTTCAATTTTTCCTGTTTTCACAAGCTATACACATCCATGTAACTAGTGCCCAGAACATTCTGCATTCCCTTCTCAAATCACCATCCTCTCCCCTATATAATCTGTTATAAATATTATATAAACAGATCTCTTATGCACTTGTTGCATGCAGTGTATATCTGTCCTCTTTCACTCAACATTACGCTTACGTGGCTCATTCAATTACACACATATAATTGTTCATGAATCCTCATTGCCATTGTGTTATGCCACTGTTTATTTCATCTCCTATAGTGGATAATTTGAATTGTTTCAAACGTGGAGCTATTATAGCATGATCCTGCACATTTTTTTTTTGGTGGGTACCAGGACTTGAACTCCAAACCTTGCACTTGCACCTTACTTGAGGCGCCAGAACCGCTTAGCTAAATCCCTGGCTCTGCACATATATTTTAGAGAATATTTTCACACAATTCTGTTGTGTGTATAACCTTGAAATGGAAGAGGTGGGTCATGTGTATGTTGAGCAGTAATGGATTCTAGTTTCTCAAGCTGGTATCCCAAGTTACATCTCCACAGTGGTCTTTGAAAGCACTGTCTCCCTGACCTTGCTACACTTGATACTGTCAGAGTTTTCACATTAATCATTCTGTGAAAATGTGATATTGTACTGTGGTTTTAATTTGCATGAATCTGAATGTTTTTCTGATATTAATGTGTCATTTGGATATCTTATTCTATAAGTATTAGTTACATATTTGGCCAATTTTCATAAGCTTATCTGCTTTTTTCTTACTAATTTGTAGGCATCAAATCAGTTTGTAAGCCTGTATATTAATATATTCTGTACAGGTATTGCAAATATGTTCTACTCTAGTTTTCCTTTTTAATCTTTGGTAAAGTATAAAAAATATCATTTTTAGTTTTGAAACAGTTTTTTGTGTTTAGCAATTTTGAATCTTGTTAAAAATCCTTATTCACTAAAGAAAACAAAAAATGCGATTTAGTGGTTGAATTTCTGTTTTTGCACATTTCAAAAATACCTATTATTATTTAGGCAGAACTTCTTAGTGACTGTGAGGGATATGAGCCTTTTAGTGCCCCAAAAATGTTGCTTCTATAACCCATTTCAAAAGACCTTTTGTCACTTCCTATCAAACCCAGCAATTCTGTGGAGTATGTTTCTTGCCTCCATTGACCCCATCTGTTTCATATCTGTTAGATATGAATTCCTTCAAATTTTTTTGTTCTCTATCTTCCCTCACAAGATATACCCTCCACTGTATTCACTTCCCCAGTCTATTTCAGTTGAGGATGATTTATTCGTCTCTTCTTTTCCCCATGCCGGGTACCATTCCTTTTCTTCCTTTAGGAATATTGTTGTTCAAATTTTCCCCTACTGTGTATTCTCAGCAACTCTCTTCCTATTTAGTATATAAGTAGATCTTATCCTACCTTAAGAAACAAAATTTTCTTTCCTCCTTGAGTTTATTGGTACATTTTAGGGATACAGTACAGTTACATTCATTGTTGGGATCTTGTACCTCTACATGACAGTTCTTGGTTCCCATTTTTTCCCCTTGTCCCTGCCCTCCCTTCACCCCTCCTCTCCCCCTTTACAAACACTTCATTTCCATTTTTTCATTTTCTCATATTTTTTTCTTTTCTCTATTAGCTTTCCCCTACCCTTCCCACTTTCCCTACACCTTTAGCCCTTTTCTTCCTATTTCACATTGCCCATTATATCATTAGGATCTTATGTACCATTGTAGTTTATTCACACCAGAGAAACTATTCAGTATTTACACATGTGTGACTTATTTATTTCACTTAGGAAGAAACAAAATTTTTACTCTCTAACCTTGTTGTGTTTGTCAAAAATGTCTTGTGAAAAGGCTCATGTTTTCAGAAGTGGAGCTTTGAGCAGGTGATTGGATGTTGGCATCGCTGTATTCGTTGCTGGATTAATCCATTGATGCATTCATAGCTGGAGGTGCAATTAGGAGTTGGGGCGTAGTTGGAGGAAGTAGGTGACCGTGGATGTGTCTCTGGAGGGAATATCTTTCTCTGGCTCTTCTGCTTTCTGTTTCCTGGATACCATGAATTGAGCAGCTTTTCTCCACCGTGCCCTTCCACCATAGTTTGTGCCTTAGAGCTATCTAACCATGGGCTGAAACCCCTGAAACCGTGAGCCTACATAAGTCTCTCCTCCTTTAATTAGCCAGGGTCGGCTATTTTGTCCCAGCAATGAAAAGTAACTAATACCCACTCCTACTAGTTACCTTATTCTTAAAAAACAAGTGACTTGGGCCGGGGATTTAGCACAGTGGTGCCGCCACCTTCCTTGCAAGCACAGGATCACCAGTATGGGAGAAAAAAGTTACATGTGATAAAATTGCATATAACTAAATACCCCTTAATAGCATAAACATATTGTATCAAATTCAGCTTCTTGGTTGTGATATTAATGTATATTTTTTCAAGATGTTACTCTGGGGGAAAGGTCCATGGGATTTCTGTATTATTTCTTACAACTGCATGTATACTATATCTTAAAATATGAAGTTAAAGGTATTCATTAAAATTACAGTACAATGCTAATAATAACAATAATATTAGCTGCTTACTGTGTTTTAAGTCTTCTAAAGCACTGTTAAGTGAATAGCATCATTAACCTTTATTCATTGTAAAACTGAGGCAGAGAGAGGTTAAGTCACTTAACCACAATCTCTCAGCTAATAAATAGCAGACCTGGCATTCAGAGCCAAATAGTCTCAACTCCTAAGCACTCTGCTGTGTTCCTTATCCATCTGTCCTTACATTGCACCTCCTAGTCTTGTCCTTTATCCCACTGTAATTTAGCTTCCATCTCAGTCTCTCCTTTGAAATTGCTTTTGCCTGGATCACAAGCCAGCTGCCAAATCACATGGCCTTTTTCTTTCCGCAGCCTTTGATAGAGTTCACATATTCGACAAATATTTACTGAACACACACAGTGTGCCAGGCTGTGCTTAACAGGAGTAACCAGGACTGGCAAAACTAGTATAACTGCAGACTGCACTTGCTGCAGTTGGAGGGGCAGAAACCCCCAGTTCTCTTCTCCCAGTCACCGCTGGCTTGCCGTGGACGCTCAGTGGGCCGGGTTATTGTCCACAACCTTTGCTTTTCTGTGGATAAGACAGATCTTATTATTTTTTTGTTTGCGACTTCACAACATAAGGAAGTGCCACAGTCCCATATCTATGATTTTTGCTTTTTCCTTCTTGACTATAAAGATAGCCAAATTTTGAAGAGCTGCTTTTCTTCCATAATCATAAATGACGATGTATGAGAGATTATTCGCCTTTAACCTTTTACTTCATTTTTCTGTCTAAGGATAATTTGGACTAATTCACTGTTCTCTATTTTGGAAACATGAGGAACATCCCTGCAGAATATTAAGTCCGTTTCCTACCATATGTCCAAATAAAAGCGACTCCAAGGAAAACACGTGTTGGTGGAGACACAGTGGTTGGTAGCTTTCTCCATATCACCGAAGCTGAGCATTCGATCCAGCGATGAAGGGAAAGAGCTGTCTTTTCTCTTCTGCGTGTCCATGATTATTTTGTTTTCATTCCTTTCCCCAAATTCAGTAAAAAAAGAAAAAAAAACTTAAATAGTTCTTCTTGCCAAAGCATAGCCCCTGTTGGATTAGTTCTAATGGGAATGTGTTTTGCTTGATGATTGGAAAGCAACTCTCTAATCCTCTCGCTCAGGTCCTGGGTTACCGTTTTTGTCTGATAGCTGTTTGTTTATAGCAGCAGTTAGCAATTTGCTTGGATGCTGCTGTCAAAGTCACGGCCCTCAATGAAACCCAAATGCCTCTTGGAAGAAAAATGACAGGATCAGCCTAGCAACTTGCTAAACTCTAAAAGTGACTCCTTGTTAAACACGTGAAAAACAATTCTTCCCTCTCTGCAACTGCAGGGGGAAAAAAAGAATCTTACACCAGATGACGATAAAAAAGGCCAGGGCTGGTTCAGTTCCATCCCTTTATGTTCCTTTTGCAAAATCCACAAACACACACACACACACACACACACACACACACACATTTGGGGCCACTTTGCAGAGTTGGCAACAGTCTCCGCTTTTTAAGGAAATCATATGGATACAAAAAAACCACAGTCCATAAAGAGCGAGGAATCCCCAAGACCCAGGAGTGGGATACATAGAACTGAAATTGTAGGTCATCAGTTAGAACATGGCTTAGACCCAAGAATCATCCCAGTTGTTGCCAGGCTTGACTAAATTTGGTTCGAATAAAAAGGAATTGGGGAAAGTATATATTTTTTTTCTGATGAGACCTCTTTTATTAAAAAGTGAAAAGGAAAAAAAGAACAGAAAACGATGAAGAAAGAAGAAAAAGAGGAGGAAGAAAAGGAGCTAGCAATTATAAAAATACCCTCTGGAATGATGGGATGATAAAATCATTCCTAACTTTCAAACCACTCAAGAGCTAAGGAATTCAGTCTTTTAGGTCAGTACCTATCTGCCATTTACATATAAGGTATTATATCTGTTTTCATGCCTTTAAAAGCTGATTGGAAAGGTCCTTGGGGCAGGGAGAGAGAGAGTTTGCTTAATAAGCTTGACCTTTTAAAGTTACAATGAATTGCTCAGGGCATAATGAAACCCTCTCCCTGAGATGGTTTATAGCAGACTCTGGTCTTACCTCGCTGGGGTATTGTAGAGAGGATTTAACACTAAATTGCTAGGTGTATCCGTTGGCATTTATAATTTCTTCTTTCCTTAAAATCTGTCATGAATCACAGCTAAACCCCTTTTACCTCTCCTTCTTCTAGTAACCTTGACTTGAGGTATATTTAGCCATTTAAAATAATGCATATTACCCTTTAGTTTTACTTATATACAAGAAAATATTGCTCATCTTTGTTAACATTCTATCTTATTCCTTCAGGTGTCCGAGCACACACAATTAAGTTGGATCCTTACCTGCATGGTCAGACTGCCTCGATTACAACATCTACACCAGTGGAAGGTAAATCCAATGATCTGATTAATAAACAGAAAGGAAGCCATTGTCCCCTTTCTGTTTATCATTGTGTTAGGCTCTGGGAATCTTGAATTTACTTTTCTCCCTGGTCACTACCCCCTAATGGCTAGTAGAGCATCTTTCTCTGCTTCAGGATATTAAATGGAAAGTGAAAGGGTCTGCAAGATTCCTTCTGACCTAAACAGACTATTAGTTATATGTTCTTATCTGTTTCAATCAACTTGATCATTTTGTACCTACCACATTATACTTAACAAGCAACCACAATTTCAGGATTATTGAAATCCCAAAGTCTCAAACCCCAGCGTCTGGATTTAGACCCCAAAGTTGCCTCTCATCACCGCTGGAATTAACTGGCAATAGGGCAAAAGCGTTTTCTTGTGGGGAGAAGAGAAAACATATTTTATTTAATATTTAAACAAGTTCAGTCTAGGCAACATTTCAAACCCACAGAAAAATTAAGGCTGCATTTTTTTAAGATGTTCAACTGAGAAAGATAAATTGGATAATTCATAGTACTTTACATAGTGCTTTATTTTTGCAATTGGATAATTTAACAGATAGGTGGCCCCCAACTATGTCAACACTAATTTCAGTTTTTCAAGCAGCTTTGAGCATATTTTCAGGGCCACTGGTTTCCTCAGAAATTGGTCTTCAGAAGCCTTCACATATGCTGCAGGGGGAAAAGTGCTCTGAAGTGACAGTCCCTGAAAGATGCGGTGTGGACATTTGTGCCCCCCTAATATGTACATGTTGAAATCTAGTCGTCCCCCCCCCCACTCAGGGGCCGGGGATTTAGCTGAGCGGTTTGGTGGTCTGCCTTGCAAGCGCAAGGACCTGAGTTCTATCCCCGGTACCAAAAAGAAATCTAGTCCCCAAAAGTAGAGCCTTTGGGAGGTGATCATGAAAGTAGAGCTCTTATAAAAGGTGTAAAAAACTCCAGAGAGACTTCTTGCCCCTTGCATCACAGAGACAGAGCACAGAGAACCCAGAGAAGGTGCCGATGAGAAGCCAGGGAGTAGGGCCCTCCGTAGACACTAACGCCAGCCTTCATCTTGGAATCCCCAGCCTCTGAAACTGTGAGAAGTGACTTTCTGTTGTGTATAGTATAAGCCACTCAGTGTATGATATTTTGTTATAGAAGTCCCAGACTAAGACACTAAGTAAATAAAATAGTATTGGTAATGTTGCAGATTCATTACCTGCCGGGGATTAGAAACAGTATTTTATAACATTCTCTACCACATTTTGGTTTAGGCAAAACTTTCCCATTTTATTATAATAATCTACCACTAAGTTTAATGCCCAAGTCTTTTCTATAGGAACTGAAAATTAATTTAATAGTTACTATTCCCCCTTGAAAATAGTTTGACAGAGTCTCCTGACTGCATATTTACTAGTAAATAACCTGATTTTCTGGAGAAACCTTTCCATTAGCCAGTGATTTTGTATTTGTGGGAAACATATACGGATTTCAAATCCCCCGCCTTGTCTCAGCACATGTTATTGCCTTCTGTGGTTAGCACTTAACAAATTTCGGTGATAATTTCTACAAACTTTATGTCATGGTAGGTGCTAGAGATACAGTAGTTAGCAAGACGGACCAAGAAAGGTTGTCTATTTACAAAGACAATTAAACAAGTAATAAAGAATGAATGTGAAGAATGCTCCCAGGGCAGGATTCCAGTGCCAAGGGAAGATCTGGTAAGAAGAGCTCACTTCTGATTTCCAAATTAGACTTTCCTAATCTTTACCCAGTGATGATTGTGAACTACTCTTTATCATGGACATTGCAATAAGAGATAACTCATGTTAACTTTAGAAAGTCACTTTCATGATAATTTCTGACCTTATCTGTGAAATCTGGACTTTATCTGATTTAGAACCTAGGAAACTCCTTGTCTTGAATAAAGTAAATAAGAAACAGTGACAGTTCAGGATCCTTTCAAGGGACAAGGGACCAGAGTTGTATTTCAGTGGTAGAATGTGTGGGTAGCATGAGCAAGGCTCTGGGTCCAATCCCTAGCACCATAAATAAATGAATGGATGGATAAATGAGTGAACGGTGATAAAACAGAGCCACCTTATTCTTCTGTAAGCCCGGAGCCTGAAGACAAGCCTACCAGAAGATAGTTGCTGAAAGGAACTGAGATTATATGTTATTACAGTTGGCTTCAGATCACACTTCACTTACTTTACAAACTTAATTGAGGAGTATCATTAGGTTCAACTCAGATTTCTTTCCCTCTTCTTTTCATCCCCTATAGGCGAAGGCTGCCCAGCAGAAGCGCGATGGAACAGTGGGTCTGCTCACATATCCCGTACTCCAGGCAGCCGACGTTCTGTCCTACAAGTAAGAAGAAAGACCGCCTTTCGTCTCACAATGTCACACATACTCGTGATGACAAGAGGGTATTTTAACTCACAAAACAAAGGCTTGGCTCATGGGGAAGGGGAACACAGAAAGGATCAGACCCGTGAATTGGTTTGTCTATCCCTTAGTAAAATGAACTAAATCATACAGGTGTGCTCCAGTGAGAAAATGGTGACACTAAGAGCTAACGCTTAAGTATCAGATACTCTGTGCTTGCAAATGTTGGGGTTTTTTAATTTTTGTTTTTATTTTTTTGGTACCAGGGATCAAACTCAGGTCCTTGTGCTTACAAGGCAGTTACCAGAACCACTGAGCTAGATCCCCGGCTGCAGATGTTGTAAAAGCTTTATATACATTAATCCTGACAACAGCCCTGTAAAATTTACACTGTTGTCATTCCTGTTCTACAAATGAGGAAACTAAGGCACAGAGTGTTTAATACTGGGCCCAGTGTCATGTAGCTTGCAAAACTTAGTCAGGATTTGAGTCCCAGACATTTAAATACAGCATATATGCTCTTAAATGCTATGCCGTACATATATTCCTTCAGCCTTTGCTCTTAAGCACTGTGCCATATATATTTCTTAAGGCTACTCCAGGCTATATTTCTATTCAGCATATATTTCTTCATCACTCTGATATATTTTTCCCTAGTAACAAATGTCAACAGATTTAAAGGTTGATTTCATACATAATCTGGACTGTGAAACAATGCTGTCCCATAGAATTTGCTGTGATATGGAAACATTTTACATCTGCACTTTCTAAGACTGTCACCACTAGCCACAGGTAGCTATAGAGCCTTTGGAAGGTTGTTAGTGTTACAGTTCCTCTCTGACTGCATTGCTAAAAGCATGAGCATTAAATCTTTATTTAACTTTAATTAATTTAAATGTAAAGACCCACCTGCAGCTAGTAACTACTATATTAGACCTATAGGTTGAGAATAAATTTTTTGATATACAGTAACTCCTTATGTTTCCTGGACCCATGATCCAGCCTCAGCTACTGCTCGTGGGCCTCAGAAATGCACAACAAAGAGTACCACCCCCTGTACTCCACCATACAGCCCTGGACTTCTGATCTTAGCCCTTTCTAAGTCTTCTTTGTTCTCCCCTCATGTGTCTCCCTTGGTACCTTATCGCTTTCTAGAGATAAAACTTCCCAGCCACTACACACTTACAGCTTTAGCCTTCTTATTATGAAAGCTTGGAGTAGAGGTAGAGTTAGGAGAGAACAGGACTCCAGGAATGTGTTTTCACCCCCTTTCCACTAAGGCCATGCGAATTAGAATTCTTGGCGTTTAAATCTGATAACATTATGAAAATGACAGCATCTGTAGGACTCCAAAACCCGTGGGCAGTAATGATGGAAACAATTGGGAGAGTAGCCTCTCAGCTGTGGTCTGTGCATGAGTATAGAAGGTATGTCTTTAATTCTGATTAGAACATATATATAAGGATTACGTGCCTATTATAGTCACTTAAATACTGGACTCTGGATACCACTCATCATTTTTAAGATTTTTCACTTATCCTGGGACATGTAGAATATTTTTCTCTAACAGACAACAAAAGAAAGCTAATGATGCATTTCCCAAGGAAGGAAGATAGTTCCTTTATAAATTCTATACAAAAGATTGATTTTCATATTTATGAAATAGAAATAATTTATTCTGTATGATTTTATTAGAATTAAGTGAAATATGGGTCAAGAAGTGCTATGACTGGGGGCTGTTACTTCTTTATGATTGATAATACTTATGTCTCTGATGATTACAATTTTATGCATAATTCTGACTGCAGAGGCTACTTCTTTACAGAACCAAAAACTAAGACTTTCCACTAGGAGAATGTGAAAATCAAGCACAGTAGATTTCCATAATAGTTCAAGAGCTATAATGGGAGAGTTGTCTGAGTTAAGGGTAGTGAAAAATATACAACTGTTAACAAAAATAAATGCCCTCTGTAGGATGCCATGGAGCACGGAGTGGGAAGTAACTTTAAGGAGCTTCTTGCTCAATTCCCTGTTTTACAGATGCAGGCCAATGAGCTTAAGCGTCTGTGACTACTCAGCCCACAGAGGAGCATCAGAGCATGTTCAGTGGTTGGCTGAGGTTAGTAGTAAACCAGGAGTTGTGTCAGGAAACATTATCACCTGAAATAGCCAAAATAATGCAATGTCACATGGGGAATACAGTAGCCCCCCGCCCACCGGCAAGAGATACAACCCAGGATTCCCAGGGCATTTCAGAACTGTACATACACCATGTGTTTTCCGATATAAACCTTGTTAGTCAGCTTTTCATCCCTATAACAAAAGACCTGAAAAACTAACTTATAAGGAGAAAAGATTTGTTTGGGCTCACAGTTTTGGAGGTTCCAGTCCAAGACAGGGAAGACTCATTACTCTAGGCTTTGGTGGATGCAAATGACAAAGAAGGAAGTACATGGTGAAGGAAGCTGCTCAGGGCACGGCCAGGAAGCAAGAGAATAGAAGAAAAAGGTGGAGGGGCCCATGGTTCTTTCACAGGCATGGTCCACTGACCTGATCACAGACTCGAAGGCCTCAACTCCTAAAGATCTGCAGCACCTCCTGATAGCACCACCCTGGGAGCAAGCTCTTCACATATGGAAGTGTGCGGGAAAGGTATCCAAACCACCAAGCCCTCTACGTATGGAAATGTGCGAGAAAGTTATCCAAACTGTAGTACATCCATCCCTGTGGTCATAATTAACTTGCAAATAACACACAGTAGGAAATGAATAGTAATAATAAAATAAAGGTTAGAGGATTATACTATAATAAAAGTTACGTGAGTGTGAGCTGTCTGAAAATATCTTGGCATATATATCGTTCTTGTGAGGATGTGAGAGGATACAGTGCCTACAAGATGAAACAAGAGGTGAATGACAGTGTATCACACATGTGATAAGTGGGCTCACAAACTTTTGCAGTTTGAGGTCTGGCAGCAAAATTGGCATACATTTCAATTTTTTTCTCCATAATTCCTCAGATAGAAGATGTGTTCTTTCTATAGATGCTAGCAAACTCAGCATGAGGTTCTTCTTTTGCTTTCCTTGAGAACTTCTCTTATGACTTCCCTTTAGCATTTCTGAGTTGCCAGCATCACTTTCCTGGAGCTTTGGGGTCATACATTTTAAGATCAGGGTTATTGAGTTGGTCTGATAACCTGAATGGCTCCCAAGCAATTCATAGGATGGTTGTGGACAAAGAGATGTTTCACATCTTGAGCAGAACACATCTGTAGGACAGTGTTAAGATTTCATTACACTGCTTAGAACAGCATGCACATTAAAACTTACATGTTATTTATTTCTGGAATTTTCCATTTGATATTTTTGTACCGTAGTTGACCCCAAATAACTGAAATTGAAACCACAGGTAGGGGGTAACTACTGTATATTTTTATCAATTCCCTAAAATGCAATTAGCAGAATGTTAAAATAATACAGTTCTCTTACTTATGATGGAACATAGCTAAGGGAATTACTAAGCAAATTATGGATGAGTTGCATCTAGTGTAAATGCAATCCAAAAATTTTAAGATAGAAAAAGATTTTAAAAGGCTGACATTGGTAAAGCTAGTTTCTTAGATCTCAAAACTTGTTTTATATGCTGCCTGCTTTAGAGCAGAGCCTGAGGTTATTAATGTCCTTTTATCTTACATAAAACAATAAGCATTTCAGTGACAGGTAAACCTTAAAAGTGTTCTGATGATTTCTTTTCTGTCTCACTGTCCTTCAACATCAGCAGGATTCTCCCATAAAAATGCTTATGTTTCTAAGGATACACGTTTCTTTTTCAGTCTCAGTTTTCTCTCAGCCAACTCCCACAGCTAAGAAATTCCCATGCTGTAAATACTTTCCTTAACTTTTACTGATCTATTTGATGATTAGGATATATTCTAAGAAGGGCATAAGATGCTTTTCTTCTTCCTATCTTCAAAAAGTAGTAGAGTCCCTCCTCAGCATTCTGGTATTTTAGAGTCACTTTGTTCCAACAAACAGATAAAAAAAGTTTTTTCTATAAAACTATATTGAAGTTAATTATCTGCTACTTAACCTAGAAATTATCTGCCATATCTAATTTCACAATTAGACATAGACTTAAAGTAGACACCTGAATTTTCTTTAAGAGAAACAGCCTTACAATTCCCTGCTTTCTGAGCAGGCTGTGCACTTGGGGATACTTTTTATTTGTTTCTTGTTTGTTTATTTGTTTGTTGATGCCGAGGATCGAACTTGGGTCCTTGTGCTTGCAAGGCAGGCAGCGGAACCACTGAGCTGAATCCCTGGCTCTATTTGTTTTTGTTTGTTTCAGATATTTCTGGATTTTGAAAAGGTCAAAATATCTATGAATATTTACATCATAAGTGTAGATAAGTAGTAGGTTGATAGATTGAAAAGTGGATGAATTATTTGTGGGGTTTTTTTCTACCAGAAAATCTGTGTGGCTTCTTCACAAAATGTTGATGCAAGTCACATATCGATTTGGAGTTTGCTTTTGTCAAAATCAGCATTAGAATAAGTGGCATGGTCAGCCAGCGAACAAACACAAGGGAAAGAAGTGGAAAGAGAGCCTTCCAGCCAGGCTTACAAAACATTTGTATAATTGTTTTGGCAAAACGTTGTAATTAACTCAGGAATGGAAAACTGCAAACATCTTTACTTTGAAAGCATGATAAATAACGCATATTTGAAGAACGATAAAATATTCAAGCATAGCAAGTGCTCCTTTTTATTTTGCATCTCTTGATTTATCTGAATGCCTAGTTTCAAATATAGTAAGTAAATCTTAATCTCTCTCCCTCTCCACATATATCCACACACAACACACACCCGTGCACATGGACACACACAGTTTTTTTTTTATTCAGCAAGTATTTGTTCAGTACCTGTAATTCCACTATCTAGAAAGGGGATTACTTATGACCTTGAAGGAAAGAGAAGGAAGGATGAATAGTATTGAATAGTGTTAAATAGTATTTGAAGGCATCATGGTAGCTGCTACAAATACATTATCTATTTCATGTCTCACAATAGCTCTGTAACATAGGTAAGTTGGTATTAGCCCCATTTTACAGATAAGTCACATTTCAGGGAGGACCTGCTAAGTCTGGTCACATAGAGATGGGAGTGAGTACCTCAACTAATCATGTGATCGTCCTCAAGAATTTGAACAGAAAAATAGAAGAAAATGATAAGATTGTGAAAGCATAAGCTGAAATTACAGAGGAAAATGAGGAAACAGAGGCCACAAGTAACTATGAATAAGTAAAAGCCAAACTGTTTGTCACTTTTCCAGTGGTGTGACAAAATATGTGAGATAAATCAATTTAAGAAAGAAAAAGGTTATTTTTGCTCATTATGTAGAAGATTCAGCCCATGGTCTCTTGGCCCCATAACTTTGGGCTGTGGTTAGTAATTGCATCATGGCAGATACACAGGGTATCAAATTACTTACCTCATTTTATCCAGGAAGCAAGAAAGACAGTGAGGGGTCAGGTGCTGCTGTCCCCTCCAAGCGCATACCCCCAGTGACTGGACTTCCTTCCACTAGGCTCACCTCCAAAGGCTCCTCATCCTCTCAGTAATATCGCCAGCTGGCAACCAAGCCTTCAACATATGGACCTTTGAGGGACATTCAAGATCCAAGCCATAATACAAACCAAACCCTCAAACAGAGTATAGAGACAAACGATCGGTCCCAAATTTCTGGCCAGTAGAGTACTAGAAGTAGAGATGAGTCCTTCTAGTGTCTGTGGATCAGCCTACTACCACCAAAAATAAGCTTTGTGAGAGCTGATATTAAATGTTTAAAGTTCCCAACACTGCTCTGGAGACCTCTGGTTCTTGAACTCCATCCATTCTTTGACGGCTCTGAACTTTCATGAGATGGTGAAAGCTGCTGCCTAAACCTCATTTCTGTGGTCTACCAGTTACCCACATATTTGCTTACACTGCTTCAGAAATCATTTCTTGTTTTTTTGCTCTCGGGCGAGGGGCAAGCTGGGACATAGAGTCCCTGAAAAATCAGAAGACAGCATAGAAGGGAGAGGATTGTGCTCAATGTCAAGGAGCAATCCAGTTTGCTCTTCAAATAGCAGTGGGAAACTATTTGTGCATTCTAAGGATAGAGTGACTTAGATATGACTTCCACCTTGTGAAGGATAACTGATTAAAATGTAGAGAATGACTCATAGGAGAAGAGTAGCTCAACAGTCAATTCAGAGGCTCTTTCACTAATTCAGACCAAGAGAGTGACAATGAAGAGGAAAAGAAACAGCCACATGTAAGGAGTTTTGAGGAGGTCACACTGGTAGGACTTCATGGTGACCTTGATATGAGCAAGTGTGGAGTGTCAGCAGTGAACACTTTTCTCATGCAACTGGATTGCAACTCATGCAACTGGTCTTGCCATGCATGCACTGAAACGAGGAACACCAGAAAAGGACCAGCCAAAAGAATTTATAGCTCCATTCAGTGTCTCTCCTACCGAGGAAGATAAAACTTCACTATATCTCTCACAGCACCCAACACCAGGCCTTTCACCTGTGTGTTTTCAATAAATGATTGCTGAGTTAGACTCATTATAGCAAATCCAACAAGCAAGCAGTGGTGAGATCAATGCTTTACGACAGGAAAGACACAGCAAACCCCTGCCCTGGCCAGGCTGGGTAAAGGCAACAGTGCTGAAAACTCAGAAACATGGCCAAGGAAGTAGGGGGAAAAAAGAAAGGATAAATCTCTGCAAGCAGATACTTTTAGGCAATGATTATTCATCTGGACACTAATTCTGCCAGAGGGATGGGGGTAGATCCCGAGTAACTAGATGCAATAAAAATCTAAGTGAAAGAAAAATGATTTAGTCACCAAAGAGGAAGATCAGACGCATTATTATGTGACAGAGGTTACAACAATCAAAATTATGAAAGACTTTTGCTTTATGTTCTACTTGAGAAACCAGAGCCAAGGTAAGCGAAAAAAAGAAAATGGAGAAAAAGAATAGACATATTAATATGGATATCATTATGTTGGGTATAAATTTTTAAAGAACAGCACTAAATTATTTGAAGTGAAAGGAAGACCATGAGGAGAGAGGTTGAAAATGTAAAGAGAATAAGCCCCATAAGTGAGGAGAATCAAAGACAGGCTGAATTAATACAGAGTGCAAACTCAGTGGATGAGAAGTAAAGGCCAAAATAAATTACAGGAGGTGAAAGGAGCAGCAGGAGCAGAGGGAGGAAGGACCAGAAACAAACAAACGAAAGTCAGATGCAAAAGCCACGTGAAGCAATAAGCCCAGGTGAAAAACATTAAAATTTTTAAATCCTTTTTTCAAAAATCAAAACCCCACAGAACTGTAAGAAAAGAGGCAAGGATCCCACATAAGGCGAGATGCAGACGGTGTCATTATGAAAACTAAATGTGTTTTCTGTTTAGTTTGGTTGCGTTGTGAATCTGGAAGCATTTTGACATGTGGAAATATTCATTTTGATGTGCTTAAAGTGTATTGATTATGGTAATTGTTTTTTCTGTGTTAGTTGCAGTCCATTGTGATTTCCTATGGGCTACTGTAATTGCTTTTTAACCTGCTGTGTTGGCTAATTTGGTTTGGGGCAGTCAAAATGATCTTAGCATGTCAGCCTTATTATAATTACCAGACAGGAATAGCCAGGTCCAGCCAAAGAAGAAACTTACAAAGGTGGGACTTGTGCATGTATACCTTAGGGAGGTGCACTGTACGGTCCTATGCAGGTTTCTTGAAAGGAGAGGAAAAGGAGCATTTTTGCCTTTTTTTTTTTGTACCAGGGATCGAACTCAGGACCTTGGTATTTTTGCTTTTATCATTTACTGGCCAGTGACTCTGCTCCAGGCTGTGTGGGCGTGGCCCTCACAATCATTTCATAAAATTTCGTATAGTACTCATTTCCTGACTTTCAAAGACAAGAAAGCACTTTCTGTTGCAGTCCTTGTCCCTGCAACTTTCTTTCCATCCCTTGTTCTGTTCTTGTTTTCCTTAAATTTTAAAAAGAGTTCTCAGAATTCCCATAACATTCTGTTTATATTTTAGGATCGCCCGATCAAGTATCTGAACTGTCAATTTCAAATATGTCTTGCACCTGTAGCAAGGCTGCTGCTGGGTTCTGATCACCTCTGGGATTTTGTGTTGACGCTTGCGTTTTGTGGTGTTTAGTCAGCTACTGAGGAGGAAAAAATTATCTTATTTGAAAAAAGTCACAGTGTAGCCAACATCAAGATCCCTTTCATATTTTTCCATTGTTATTTCAGATATAAATGAATATCAGTAGCTAGTGTTTACTGAGCTCTTATTATAAATTTCTTATTATCAATTGCTTTCAGTCTTTGAAACAACTAATAGCACCATGATGACCCCCTTTAGAGAAGAAATGATGACTTAGAAAGGGTAAGAAACTTGCAGTGGCAATTTACTGCTTTTACAGGAGCAGTATTAAACTTCCTTTATCAAGGAACCATGGCACTTTATTAGCTGTATTATCAAATATAAATTCACCAACCAAGTATTAAGTACATATTCAAAATCCCTGGTCTCCCACCCACCATAACGCTTCCTTACAAAGTTTTCCCCACCAACTCTTCTTCATAATGCTTAATTTTGTTCTTATTTGGCATACCTCATCATGGTCTGACCCCACAAACTTTATATATGGGATTAAAATACTTACCAATAAATTCCTTGTATTGTTTGTATATGTGTGTATTTTCAACAAAATAAAATATTACAGATAAAGTTCGGGTTCCCTTTGTTCCTTTGCTCAGGCCCATTTCTTAACCTCCTTCTCTGGAAACAGCTGTGATCATGGGTCTGGAGAGATGCTTCTGTTTTGTTTTTATTCCAGTTCATTTTCTTCATTCCACATTATCTTTAAGATCCGCTTACGTCATACTTATAGATTGTGTTCATTTAATTTCCCTACAGCAGATCAATTATCCTGTGATGGTAGTTTACTTGAAAATGAAGGAGTATATTTCAAAAAGATCTTGAATGATTCCCTATGTACCAAGGAGGAAAAATTCTTGCCTAACGAGCTTTCTGCCATTTTTTATTTGAAGATGGGGGGTGGTGTCTTTCAAGTATGAGCCACAGCTCCAAGGTGAAAAGCATCTGATGGAGCCTGGAATGATATTCCCTGCCAGGGTGAGAGAACAAGGTGGCTTTAAAATGCAGTTATGTGTACAGCACAGGCTATTGAAGATCCCATTCATCCCTCCCAGCGAGATGCTGTCACGCTGTTGTTGGTGGCTGTATTCCTCCTCACTGTGGGGCAAACAGAACCAGAATAGACAAACATCTCTTTACTGTTCATCTGATGCACACATAAAGACTTGGGTCTCAACATTCCCTCTGTAGTTGGTGAACATTTGTTGAACACCAACAGGTAAGTAGGTGCAGGAAGTGCAGCTGCTTGCAGTACCATCTCTGTTTAAGAAAGAGCCTTGCTGAGCTTTCTTGTCTGCATTTTATTAAAGGTCCACACACGTTCCTGTTGGAGAAGATCAGGTCCAACACATGGAGCTCATTCAAGATCTAGCCCAAGGTTTCAACAAGAAGTATGGACATTTCTTTCCAGTGCCCCAGTCCATTCTAAGTAAGTAACAAACGAGCTTGTTAAATCAGACCATGTTTGGAAGAGAGGACCGGATAATAGACAGAGGCTTGGGACTGTCTTGCTACTAAACTTTCTTTTGGACAGTCTTAAGGATTTATAACTAGAATCCTCGTCATTTTGTCAAGTAGGACTACTGGACTGCATTGGATTATAGAAAAAGATAATGAAAACTGTTTCGTTAGTATGAGAGAAGTTAAACATAATTGTATTAAAGTATAAGGTATATAGTTATGTATAGTTGTTATGTAATTACGCATCTATAAAATTTTATTTGGTAGAGAAGATATCTTTCCCCTTTAGATGGATAAGGTAACAAAGGCTTGGTAAATCTTACTTTGTATCTACTTAACATTAGAGTTTGGTCCTACCCTGAGCTCTTCTGTGTATCTTGCCTTCCTAAGTACAATAAAATAAGTCATAAAAGTGAGAACTGCTGAATTATGATCTGGATAAAACAAGAGGGAAGCCATAGTCCTCACACTGTCTTCCTCAGTGGAGACAGACAGACGGAACGTGTAATGCACCCACTGGATCTGTCAGACTCAGCCTTCAGATGCCATCCTAGTCTGGGTGACTTCTTCAGGAAAGGTGCCATAAATCTCTATCAGCATTTTGATAGCATCGTAACCCTGTGGTAGGGGCAGAGATTATGGAACCTGAGCACAGCCCGTCTTTATTAAGCTAACAGCATTTTAAAGAAGGATATTTGCCTAGCTAGTATCAATCAGAAACATTAATCCAGCATAAATGCATTTAATCCAGTAATTCACAACAGTAAATTCAGAGCACCTCATACATAGACAAACATCTCTTTACTAATTCATCTGATGCACACATAAAGACTTGGATCTCAACATTCCCTCTGTAGTTGGTGAACATTTGTTGAACACCAACAGGGAAGTAGGTGCAGGAAGTGCAGCTGCTTGCAATACTATCTCTGTTTAAGAAATCAACCTTTTAGCAATAAATAAGGTTTTTTTGTTTTGTTTTGTTTTGATTTTTTTTTTTTTTTTTT